GTCGATTTTCGGCAGATCTGGCCACCCACCGTTACGCCACCTATAATCTACTATCGCCACCTATAATCATCGCTGCTCCACCCTTAATTTTTATTTGGGCATTATCAAGAATCCCGAAAATCAGAGGCTAACAAAAAAATTCTGGAAACTCCACCATTGCTTACACTGTCCACCATTCATTTGAGGCGAAGAGGTTAATTTTGAATGGTAATGTCCACCATTCAAATTTGCAACAATTTGAAGGTGACGAGTGACACCTCCCTGAACAGGGTGTGATGACTGTTGGTATGGAAATTTTTTGTGATTAAAGAATAATGACGGCCAGCTAACACTAACAAAACGAGTCTTTTAGAATACAGGCATAAAATTATTTCACTAAAGAATATCCGGTGCGAAGAATGGACTCGGAACGCTTTGTGTATATCATGTCGACTGAAATGTAAAAAATAAAGTAATCAAGTTGTTAGACTTAGTTCCGACTACGTTCTCGAGTTCACTTAATCACCTTATCTACGTCCATGTCAACTGCAAGTTAAACTACTAAGAAATAATTTCATTTCATCAATGCTGGATGTAATCTGAATTTATTGTACAAGTTTAAAATTATGCGTGCGTTTGTTTTTAGAAACTTGTGATTTGAACATTGTATGGCTACATCACTAAGATTTAATTCTTGATACAGGGGTTTACATGATCACACATAATAATTAAGTTGAACGCTGTTTGAATTGGTTATAATCTTCCTAATCTATAATCTAATCAAATTTAAGTATGTTATCATCAGGTCTCCTGCTCGCTCAGAGGCCATCTTTCGAACGATCCACAAACGCGCCGACAAATTCGAACTATTTTGTTGTCGCATTTTAAATGGAATTGCTTTGGACGCTGCTGGATGGCACCAGGAAGACGTTTCCGTGGCTGACAGATAACGACAATGACCGCCGGCAGTGCACGGTGAAGCTCATGGTCCGGCAGATTGACGGTGGCATTGCCGAACACTGGGCGCTTTGCTTCGATTGGACCGATCGAGCTGCCACGTACGAAGCCAATGACGAAAATGGGTACCTAATTCCTTACTGGATTAGAGGTTATCCGGATGTTGCCTACACGTGGACGATGTCTCGTCACTTTAGCTTGGAATGCTCACCCCAACAAATCAATTCTAAGGCCCGCCAAATTTCCCTGAACGGCTTACCCTACTTACTTACTGTTAGGAACTGTCACCACTGGGCTGTTGAACTCGCTTCGCAGGTTGGTCTCAACATCGATGAAGCTTTGGAAAGTTGCCTTCCTGGAGACTTGAAGAGCGTCATCAATTTCGGGTATGCCATCAACCAAGCAACTCGATGTTTCTCACAGGCGGGGTCATTGTTCGCTGGGTCAACGGTCTCCTCGAACACAGGTCACGCTCTTGCCATGGCTAGGTCTGCTCCAGAGGCCGCAATCTTTTCATCTAAAGTATCTCGCGCCTCTGCCAATGCAATGGATGACGACGATGGACAACAGTTGCAAAAGACAAGCAGTGATGACTCGCCAGAACAAAGTTTCAGGGCCTTGGCTGGGGCCGTAATGTTCGCAGGATATGCATTTGCAACCCTACTGAAGAATATTTCTTGTGATGAGGATGACTCACCAACCACTCAGTCTAAAAGAAGAAATTAATGGAATTTCTGCTAAAATTTACAAAGAAAACTTCGTATTACTAGATAAATTCCATGTGTATTCTGGTGCTAATCGATTTGTTAAGGACTTTTAATGTTAATGGGAATTTCTACCAATTCAGTGCCTGGCACTCGGTCAAAAACAAAAATAACCACGGCTGATTTTATTTGTAAATTATTTTTGAAAAGAGTTTTAACTTGTAGCACAATTTCCGTGGCTGTGAAGGAACTCACACTGCTAACAGTTCTCATTAATAGCTAAATTTTTACATCTAATGTGACATTTGTCCTACAACAATCAGCTATATATAAGTTATGCTTGAGTTAGAATATCTTCACACGTCAACATATGAAGAAAAGGGAAATTAAATTTTTTTTGGAAAATATTTTATGGTGAAATGACTTTTTCAATGATATTACTTCCTGGTTAAAATAGGTTTTGAACACGTACCACTTTGTTTAAATATTTGCTCGATTCTTTTTTATAACACGTACAGTAAATGTATTAATGTGCACAAAGCTTTATCGATGATTCAAAAGAGCTTTAATTCTATTATTACTTAATAATTGACTACATGTTTTACAGTAAATGATTGAAAACACCGATCCTTGATTGCTGATAAATTTGAACACTAACTATAAATTCAACGGATATGCGGTATACTGTAAATGGTTTTATGAACAGAAATTAAGAGTACGTTATATAGACGTTTGTACATATATTTAATAAAATTAAGAATAACGTTAGATGTTTGTACACATACTTAGTAAAATGTAGGTAGCCAGCATTGATTAGGTTATTTTCTTTAATTATAAACTCATTTCCAATTACGGTTGTTCATCGACTTCATCAACATGTACACACCTAACATTAATTTCATCGTAACATTAATTTCATCGTAACATTAATTTCATCGTAACATTAATTTCATCGTAACATTAATTTCATCGTAACATTAATTTCATCGTAACATTAATTTCATCGTAACATTAATTTCATCGTAACATTAATTTCATCGTTTGTACACCAATTAATTGGGATTTCCCAGTGTCAACTGAACGATAATGCGTACGTACTGAATATATGTTTGGTTCAAATCATTCATCTTTAGGTCAAGTATTTGAATGTGAAATAGTTACTTTTAACCAATAGAGACTATTATATGTTTATGGTGATATTATCCGTTTTCCTTGACTGAAGCAAGTGAATTACCTCCATGTCGTTTATAAACATGTTAATTGCACTGAAGATGCTTCCTATACAGCATCTCGCTGAAAATTGTAATAGAAAAGCGTTCCCTGGAAGTTTCACTCGTCCAGTGAGTGAAGTGCGTCATATGGAAGCCGAGAGAAAGTTTTCATTTGCTCAAATATTTTGCTCAATTTGTTTCATACTTCAATTAAACTGAACGTATCAAATAATTATGAAATAGAAAATTTAAAAAGAATTTAAGAATTGATTTAAAATAATTAAGCAGCAATTATTTTCCATTTTTTTGAGGTCACAAATAGTATTTTCAAATAAATTCATAAAATAGAACGTATTTTTTAATAAATTTATATAATAGATCCGTTTTTTAATAAATTTATGAACCATTTTTGAGGTCACAAATACTATTTTCGAATAAATTCCGAAAATAGAATGTTTTTTTAATAAATTTATATAGTAGATATTTTTTTCAAATTTATAAAATCGAACTTATTTTAAGGAAGAGACACGCTGTTCTTTACTTCACTAAATACAAATTTCCTCTCGTGATAAAATGCTTTTCAAAGCTTTACTAATAAAAACCCAATTATATTGTATGTAAATATAGATAGGTAAGAAAACGCTCAACATTAAATATTGGAATATCAAATACTTATTAAATAGGTATTTAAAAATAATCATTATATATAAACAATTTTATCATTTCTGTCAACTGCAATCTGTCGGTCAAACGACCACACAGAAAAATTGAGAAAATTTGTCCAAATAGCGATGCAATATTTACCTTCCTCTAGGCCACCTTGACGCATTTTTGCTCAGCAGTGCTACATGCAGAAAAAGGGTCGCTATTTGCACAATATGCCCTTTCATTTTCTGATGATTAAAATTATGAAGATTGTCATAAATGTATGAGGACATAAATTGAATAGGATGGTAATGACTATGACATTAACTTTAAAAATTAACTTGCTTTAAAATTAAAAGATCTCACCTTGTATTCCTCAATGTGTCTGAACGCATCAAGTAGAGTGAAAGAAAACTGAAGTTTAGATTTAATATTAAAGATTTTCTCTGAAACAAAAAGCGAATAAATATATAAATAGAGACACTTGTATATAATAGACGTATGCAATGCACTATTTATAACTTGACTGTATATATTCTTAATACTTGCTGCCCATGAAGATATGGAAATTTTATAATTACAATAATAGTTTTGACTCAACCCCACAACTACCTTATTTACTTTTATTCATCAACTTTTAATTTAGCTCTCTCAATATTTTATTAAATTAATATCCAATATTTATAATTGTAATTAATATTCCATAGGATATTCAAGGCTGCGAAGGGACCCAGGGAGCGCAGCAGGTCTCCCTTGCACGCCCCCCCCTAAAGACGGGAGGGGCGCCCCCTTGGGGTATCATAGAATTAATAATTAAAATTAATTATCTAATAATTAATTATAATAATTTTTCCTATCAACTAAATTCCAATAAGAAACCTTTCAGGAATAAAAAAAAATCATGAGTGCATCTTTCAGGAAAATTCAAGGTACTTATTTAATAAATAATTTAAATCACACAGTAATGCCTTCATTTAATTATGAAACAACTAAACCAAAAACTTGGCTACGCATTTGCCTCAACAAGGCATGAAGTAAAAACTACTCATTATAACACATGATATTCGACGCACTAAAATGTTTAAATAATTCAAATGGATGCAGAAAAAAATGGCAGCATAAATTAACAATTTTCGTTTTCCCTAACCATTTTTGTAGCAAATCAGAAGAGATGAAACAGGGAGAATAAGAACCCTCGACGTAATATAAAAGTATATATTTACAATCACGCACTCAAAACGACACGGTAAGCGTCTTTAATTATTTATTAAGAACTAAGTGACTGATTGAAGGAAATTACAACGAATGACCGATATGGGGAAATTATGAGGGAAAATCCTGTGAATATAGTGAAATAACGAGGGAAATTCCAGTGGATACGATGAAATTATGAGAGATATTCCTATGGATATAGTGAAATAATGAGGGAAATTCCTGTGGATATGGTGAAATTATGAGAGATATTCCTATGGATATAATAATGAGGGAAATTCCTGTGGATATGGTGAAATTATGAGAGATATTCCTATGGATATAGTGAAATAACGAGGGAAATTCCTGTGGATATGGTGAAATTAGTAGAGATATTCCTATGGATATAGTGAAATAATGAGGGAAATTCCAGTGGATATTGTTGTGGCGTACATAAATTAAACAAATGCTGTGATAAGTCCAAACCTCAGATGACAACGGAAGCTCAAAGCACAAATGAAGAAAACTTGTCGATAAAGTTTGAGATATTAATATTGAATGATAATATTTAGAAATTTAATATAAAGTAATGAAGTTTGAAAAATTAATAGCAATAGACTGCACAATATAAGCAGGTACCACAAGATTGTCTTCTTGACAAGATCCAGCAACCAAGACAGCAAATAATGTCAATAATTTTATATAATTATTATTATTATTATTTTATATAATTACGAAAACGGCTATTGATGAACGAGCAAATAGCTCAAGAAATTTTTTTTTTTAGATATTGAAACTAATAAATTGTTTACTACACACGAAAGTTTCTTTTTTCTTTGCTATTCTTCGTCTATTAAATTCTTTTTCTTTAGACATCTTACAGAACTTCTTATGGCCTGGAAATTCGATTGACGTCTTTCAATAACTTTTACTGCCGACGGCTGACTTAAATTATACAAATTATGATAATTCTAATAGTCTTCATAATTTACAATAAAGAAATTCCATTGTTGATTCCAGAGTTTACAGAGTGATTCAAGAAAGGCTAAAAGATCATTTTAAAACAGATAATATCAGAGTAGGTGATATCCAATTTACAATTTCTTCAAGCTTCACATCCTTTCAGCCGTTGAAAATAACTTCAACAAAATGACAAAAGGTATACAGTGAACTTATCCAAAAAGGATCACAATTCAAAAAGTTTCACAACTGAAACAGGTTCACAATTCAAACAGGTTAACCGGCATTCAAACAGGTTCACAATTCAAACAGGTTCATATATCAAACAGGTTCACAAGTCAAACAGGTTCACAATTCAAACAGGTTCACAATTCAAACAGGTTCACAATTCAAACAGGTTCACAATTCAAACAGATTCACAATTGATACAAGTTCACAGTGCTATCAATACAAACAAGTTTACTAAGCATTTATAGTAGAATAATAATTTTAATAATTTCATAATTGCTAAGCACTAATTAGTCTTGATGCTGGTGGGCCTCAGCCTCCCGCCAGTTGTTTAGGACGGCCTCAGTAATCCTGCCCCATAGGACGCTCCTGAAGAAGCAATAGGACGCTACGCTCACTAGGAACAACCAGGACGTCCCTAGCCACCACCCGCTGTAGGGCACCACCTCCAGCGGCAGCACCGAGTCCTGGCCGTAGGATAACATTTTTAATTGTATAATATAATTGAAACAGTAATTATTCAATTATATATAATTATTATTCAGCCACCACCCGCTGTAGGGCACCACCTCCAGCGGCAGCACCGACTCCTGGTCGTAACTATTCATTTTTGAATTATGTAATTGGCAGAAGAATTATTCAATTATATATACCTAATTATTATTGGAATTACATTAATTTATTAGGCATGAATTATAATTATCATACAGGATATACAATATAGTTCCTACAGCCACAATACCTGTAGCGGCAGCACAGACTCCTGGCCGTACGATAACATTTTTAAATTATATAATTGGCACAAGAATTATATAATATAATTATATATAATTATTATTGGAATTATATGAATTTATTAGGCATGAATTATAATTGGCACAGAGGATGTACTATATAGTTTTTACGTTAGGCATGAATTATAGATGTCATACAGGATATACTATATAGTTCCTACAGCTACTATACCTGCAGTCATGTCAGTAGTACATAATTTTTAAAAATATCTTTAATTTCAATCAATAATAATAATACGTAATAATATAAAATATTATAAGATCAAAATAATCAACCGAGCGAACAGAAAATATAATAATTTTGAATGTGCCATACTGCAAAGAGAATATTATTAACAAATAAAGTTTTTAATTACGAACTAATAACGCGATAATTTCCACTGCGCATTTCCATATAAATTAATTTTAAATAATATTTCTAATTATTAACTAGGCCACAACACTGACCGGGCGGTCTGCGTCGGTGATCCCCAAGTCCCCTTGGACGTCATGACCCTTTATTTTTCTGAGTGTAAGTCCCACAACACTCACCGTTTTGACCAAATCTGTGCCTAGAAAGTCCCATAGACGGTTGGAGGTCAAAACCTTCATTTTTCTGAGTGTAAGGCGCACAACATCCACCGTTTTGTCCAAATCTGAGCCCAGAAAGCTCCGTAGACGATAAGGGATATTAACCCTTTATTTTTCTGAGTGTAAGGCCCACAACACTCACCGTTTTGTCCAAATCTGTGACGACAAAGTCCCCCGGGGGACGGTAGTCGGTGTAGTGCTGTAGGAAGGACGCTAGCAACGCTCCGGTGAAGGAGCTAGCGTTATACTGCGTTACAATGTGGCCGTTATGGAACAGCAGTAACGTTGGTGTACCCATAACGCCGAACTGTGCGTTGATACTGTAACGTTGTAGCGTTATTAATATTATTTGTGTAATATATTAATGTTATACTGCGTTACGATGTGGCCGTTGTAGAACAGCAGTAACGTGTAACGTTGTTATTCATGTGGTAATATATAATATAGTTCATAAAAAAAATTGTCACCTGTAGAATGAGTTCAATTCAATTAATGAATTAAATTGAACAGTTGCTTAAATTAACAGTAAATTCCCAATTAAATTTAACAGAAAAATCAGACATCTAAGTGATCCAATTAAGTATAACCAATACATTTAACAATGAATTCAATTTTAATGAATAACGAGTTAAACACAATCCAACAAATCACGGGTCGTGGCAGTGACGGCGGTTAATTATAATTACGTATTAGCACTTCAATGATCAATTAGTCCTAAAAAAAGTTAATTAACTAATTAGCCCTAAAAAAGGTTAACTAAATTATAACAAATACTAATTAGGATTAAAGAAAGGTTAATTAACTAATTAGTCCTAAAAAGTTAATTACCTAATTAATCCTAAAAAATGTTAATTAATTAGTCCTAAAAAAGGTTAATTAACTAATTAGTCCTAAAAAATGTTAATTAATTAGTCCTAAAAAAGGTTAATTAACTAATTAGTCTTAAAAAAGTTAATGAATTAATAAGTCCTAAAAAGGTCAATTAATTAATAATTAGTCCTAAAAAAGTTAATGAATTAATAAGTCCTAAAAAGGTCAATTAAGTAACCTGTGGTGAGCGATGGAGTCGACCCCGTAGACAGGCATAACCTGCTGGAGGTGGCGGGACATGGCGGTGACGGCGGGGGCGGCGGCGACGCTGAAGGGGCAGTGAGCGCTGTAGAAAAACACCAGCGCGCAGGGGGCGGCGGTGGAGCGGTAGCTGACGTTAGGGTTGGGCGAGACTAGGTCTTGTAGGGCGGTGGCGTTAAGAAGCTGTCGGGGGGTGGGATAATGAAGGGAGTTAGTGGGTCATATAGTCCAAATAGTGACACACTTTTTATTAGGGTTGGTAGCTGACGTTAGGGTTGGGGGAGACGAGGTCTTGTAGGGCGGTGGCGTTAAGAAGCTGTCGGGGGTGAGATAATGGAGGGAAATTAGTGGGTCATTGTCCGTATAGTGCCACACTTTATATTTCAGTGAAATGAATGTCTTATAGTGTCAAAATAGGGACACTTTTTATTAGGGTTGGGGGAGACGAGGTCTTGTAGGGCGGTGGCGTTAAGAAGCTGTCGGGGGTCAGATAATGGAGGGGGTTAGTGGGTCATCTTGTCCAAATAGTGACACATTTTTACTCAGTGCAATGAATGGGACGTAGTGTCCAAATAGTGACACATTTTTATTCAGTGAAATGAATAGTGTGCAAATAGTGGCACATTTTTATTATTCAGTGAAATGAATGGGACGAATATGGGCAAATAATGACACATTTGTATTCGGTGAAATGAATGGGTCGTAGTGTCCAAATAGTGATGCACTTTTTTTGCACGTAGGATGTATCCTCCTTTATCTTTTCTACCTCCTGAATTAATGCATTCGATTTTGTAATGGTCCTTAAAGTCAAACTCTGGGAAAAAATACGGGTCATATTGACCAAATATTGACACATTTTTTTTATTTTAAGCAAAATTGTGTCAGGATGACACATAAAAGAGTAAAAAGTGCATCACTATTTGGACGAAATCTCACACGCATCTCTGAATGAGGCGTAGAGAACGTATATATAACTTCTGAATAATGCGTGAGTAACTTGTAAATGAATTAACTATGAAGAATTTGTAGATAAGATGTAAAATACCTGTTTTACGCCTCCTACTGCCTCAATACAATGCTATTCCTACCTGCGCCTCCTACTGCCTCAATACAATGCTATTCCTACCTGCGCCTCCTACAATGCTATTCCTACCTGCGCCTCCTACAATGCTATTCCTACCTGAACACCAGCAGCGCTGATGCTCTACAGCCAGCTTCTGGACCCCGCTGTGCCGTCCAAATCAGTATGAATATATTCTGAATTTTGTGAAAATAATATAATATATTAATATAATAATAATATTTTTAATATCATTTTAACACTAATGAGCACGCCAATTGAAAACTAATTGTTAGATTACATTAGTTGTTAAATAACTTTATTGTGTCCAATTACCTGAAATTGACCAGCTTTCTCTGCCGCCGCTCGCTCGTCGTCGTCCATCAAACTGGCGGGCTGCAGAATAGCATAATATTGTATTAAAACATTATTTTACATAAAATATTGATTGATAATTCACCAAATATTACATCACATAAAATATCTTCAGATAAATTGATCAAATATTACACGACATATAATACCTTCTAATAATTACTAAATATTATTTGACATGAAGCATCGTCTAATCATTTTTATATCACACTTCTATTTCATACCAGCCTCATACCTCAAACAAGAACAAAAGTGCTCATTCTTTTACACGGGGGCAGTAGTGGCGGCCAGTACAACCTACAAATACTAACCGTCACTAATTATCATGCTACAGGCCTCGTGTACAGGGTTACTGGGTCCTTACGTGGCCAGTAGTCTATTCACGGGGCCAATAGCACGGTAAATATTGGCGGTTAATGTATAAAAGTTGTACTGGCCGCCACTACTGTCTCTGTGTACTAAAGTTGTACTGGCCGCCACTACTGCCCCTGTGTACAAAAGTTGTACTGGCCGCCACTACTGTCCCCGTGTACAAAAGTTGTACTGGCCGCCACTACTGTCCCTGTGTACAAAAGTTGCACTGGCCGCCACTACTGTCCCTGTGTACAAAAGTTGCACTGGCCGCCACTACTGCCCCTGTGTACAAAAGTTATACTGGCCGCCACTACTGTCCCTGTGTACAAAAGTTGCACTGGCCGCCACTACTGTCCCTGTGTACCAAAGTTATACTGGCTGCCATGCACTACTGCCCCTGTGAATAAAAGTTGTACTGGCCGCCACTACCGTCCCTGTGAATAAAAGTTGTACTGGCCGCCACTACTGTCCCTGTGAATAAAAGTTGTACTGGCCGCCACTACTGCCCCTGTGAATAAAAGTTGTACTGGCCGCCACTACAACTGTCCACGTGTACCAAAGTTGTACTGGCCGCCACTACTGTCCACGTGTACCAAAGTTGTACTGGCCGCCACTACTGTCCAAGTATACAAAAGTTGTACTGGCCGCCACTACTATCCACGTGTACAAGGACCTCAAATCTCACCTTTAAGCGCCGCAGGATCTCGCGGAGAGGGATTTTCTTGTTATCCTTCTCAGGTCCTTCACTGGGGTTGGCGGAACTGCTGGGGTCCTTTACCAAGGACGCCTCCTCGTCCTGCCCCACGTCCCCATGGGGCTTGAGTTCCTCATCTTCCCCCGAGGGTTTTTTCTCAGCATCAACAGTCATTGAATCCTCATCGTCGACGCTCGTCTCGAAATATTCATCGTCATCATCACGAATATCAACGTGGTTCGAACCATCATCAACTTGGTTCTCTTCAGACACAACATTTTCGTCAGGTTCATCAGAAGAATTGGTTTCTTCCGCATTTGTAATGTAATTTTCATCGGAATTTCCAAAAACTCGTTCATCTTGTGCATTTAAGATGTAATTTTCTTCAGGATTTCCGATAATTTTTTCAAATCTCGTGTCGTTGACTTCGGTCGTTTCGGCGACTTCATCTCCACCGGCGAAGATGAAAGCGCTTCCTAAGGACGCGTTAATTAAAATATTCGCTATTATCGTGTTAACTAAAAGCCACCCAAAAATATTATGCCATCTAGAAGCCATCTGTAGAGTAAGAGACAAACCTAGATGCGATTGGAAAAAGTTTTGAAACCTATTGCAAGAACTTATTGTTTGTGAAATGCATTTCACACCCATTATCTACAGTGCGAGTTGAAGTTCTTTATTTCAACGTATTTGGCGCTAATATGCGGTCTCGATTTCCCATCATTATTGATATATATTAATATTGTTTACCAAAAAAATTATGCTATCTAATTCAATGGTTAAATTGAGCAGCAAACAGAACGAACATGTTCGTTGAACACAAATGATCATGTTCACGGTGCTGACATGATCATGTTCACGGTGCTGACATGGTCTCTTATACACATCTAGATGTGTATAAGAGACAGGCGCTGACATGATCATGTTCACGGCGCTGACATGATCATGTTCACGGCGCTGACATGATCATGTTCACGGTGCTGACATGATCATGTTCACGGCACTGACATGATCATGTTCACGGCACTGACATGATCATGTTCACGGCGCTGACATGATCATGTCCACGGTGCTGACATGATCATGTCCACGGTGCTGACATGATCATGTCCATAGGTCCTCGACTGGGTAGGAAATGCACCGCTCGTTTGACATAGAAGTTTTTTCCAAATTATATGATGACGCAATTTATTAAATTAAATATATCGCGCCCAAATTTGTTATATATAACAAAATACATATAAATTAAATGTTAAATATTGCGTAATGAATAATCACACACAAAAAAGCGACTCCGGGACAGAGGGTGCGTGGCAAAACATTTATTTTTTGGCTCTCCTTATAATCCACAAAAATTTAATTCAACAAAATAACTATCATCGTATGAATAATTTTTATAATTTCAGGCAGATGATGCAAAACCAACGTTGATCCCGAGTTGACTTCGTTGAAACAACCTTAATTAAATGTTATTTCGACGTTCTAAGTTTTAAATAAACAAAATCGCAGCAGATTTCTAACGGCCAAAAAAAATCGTTTCAACATCCCTTGGTGTTGATGAAGTTTGCATTTGGTCCAATTTAATCAATACATCGCGAACAATGAATGAATTTGAATGATTTTCAAATTCATAGAATGATTACATTTCAATATTTGCGATAGGTTTTAGAGTGATATGGAAGAAAACTATTTTTTTTTAGAATAATGAAGTAGAAAGCAGCATTTATACTTCATTAAATTGTAAATGTTAAATGAATATCAACAAATGGATTTCTTATCAAATAAAATTGAAGTTGAAATAATCTGGATCGGCGATACTGGACTCAAAATGCTGGATCATCTGCACCCCCGTGCTGGAATAATGGTAAACTGATCATTATAATGTAATGGTCATATAATAATCATTACATTCATTAGATGTAATGATCATTATAATGTAATGATCAATACAATAATCATTACATTCATGTAATGTAGTGATTATTATAGTATCATTACATTCATTATATGCAATGATCATAATAATGTAATGATTATTATCATAATCATTATAATCATTACAATCATTATATGTAATGATCGACATAATGTAATGATCAACATAATAATCATTACATTCATTAAATGAACTGATCAATATAATAATCAAGTCGATGAAATAATTTCCAGAAGTGAGACCAACAGCATTATAACTCAAAAAAATACTGCGTTATATTGTCCAAATGGCTGTGATACGCGCCAGCACCGTACCTAATTTTCTAATCCTTCATGCTCGATTCAAGGGATCTCAGATGATGAATTTATCATTTTATTCAAAGTAGTTCTAATTATCAATTAATAAATTGGTTACGCTGAATAAAGCTGGCACAATGAGAATACTAAACAAAACATAAAAACCAAAATTTAATACCGAAGACAATGTCTCCTCCATGCTGTAGGAAATATTATTATTAACTATTATATAATATATACTATATTATTACATAGCATATACTGAGAAAAATGCATGAGTCATGTTGTCCTCACAGTGACACAGCACGTCTTTCTTACTCACAGCACGTACGTAGCAATGATACGCACTTTTGCAGGGCCAAACTGGGTCAGGATGACCCGCTCAAGGCAAGAGTGCATCGCTACTCGGACGAAGTCTTACTAATTTCTTTGAGTGATGCATTTTCATAATCATGCTTCTTTTGTTAATTATAGAAGAATTTTCGAGGTCCACAAGCTTATAATCCAGCTCACAGGATGACTAATTATTGGCCTTCTTTAATAATCAATTAATTTTCATTAACTTAAATGCGAAATAATTCTAGAATACCCTAAATAACAAAATTATGAAATTACAGCTTCTCTTCAGACAAACAATCTATCAATTGAAAATCAATTTGATCATTTTTTTGACTGTCAATTCTAATCTTTAGGCTTTTAATCAAAATTTCCCCACTTACAACGTGTCAGTACAGTTTACAGGCATCAATTTCAGCTATAATAGTGAACTCCCTAACAGATAGAGAGTTCCCCAAAAGCCCCAGTCCCTAACAGATGTAGAGATTCCCCAAAAGTCTCACTCCCCAACTAATAAATAACCTTTCAACGGATAAAAAAATTAAATAAAAATTATTAACGGATGAAGAAACCCTACCTAACTGAAAAAAAATCACCACAAGTCCCCCCCCCACTCCCCAATTGATAAAAAAAACTTCTCAGCGGATAAAGAAACTCCCCAAAAGCCCCACTCCCCAACTAATAAATAAGTTCTCAACGGATAAAGAAACTCCAATAAACCACCACTCCCCAACTAATAAACAACTCCATTAATCCCCTCCACTAGTCCACCTCCCCCTCACTGAGGGTGTGGTCATCGTCAGGCTTCTCCTGCTTGAGCCCCGCGATGGTCCCCAAGATGGTGGGGAACTGCACGGGCATAACCCCAGACCCCAGCCCCGTTCCAGGGGCACTAGCAACGCTAGCGGAGTTATCAGAAGTGCCGAACCCCGTGGGGCTGGGGGGATTAGAGGACTCTGGGGAGCTGAGGTTAGCATCTTGCACAAGGAACTTGTCAAAGCGGGGAAGACGTTCATGTTTGACGCGCTTGTGACGCTTGTGTTTCTTGTCCTTCTTGCGCTTCTTGCTCGAGCTTTTGTGCGCACGCTCCGGACCTGCGGGCGTGTTGGCAACGTGTTGGTAACGTGTTGGTAACGTTTGGTAACGTGTTAGTAACGTGTTTGGAACACGCTTGGAACACGTTTGCAGCGTGCTTGAACCTGTGTGAATGATTGTAACGTATTTGAACCTATATAGGTGCATGTTTGAACGCGTTTGGAATATGTTTTCAATGTGTTTGAACTTTTGAGCATGTTTATAACGTGTTTGTATTGTGTTAGTAGTATGTTCGGAACGTGTCTGAAACGTGTTTGTATCGCGTTCATCATTTATTTGTAACGTGTTTGTAACTTGCTTGCAATGTTTTTTGAACCTGTGTGCATATTTTTAACGTGTTGGCAACGTATTTGTTAGATATTTTTAACGTGTCTATAACGTGTTTCAATCTATGTGCAAGTTTGTAACGTGTTTGTAACGTGCTTGTAACGTATTTGTTACGTGCTTGTAACATGCTTGTAATGTGTTCGTTAAGTGCTTGTAACACGATTGGTAACGTATTGGTATTTGTATCGCGTTCGAACTAGTGAACATGTTTGGAACGTGTTTGGAAGGTGTTTAAACTTTTGAGCATATTTGTAATTGTTAACGCGTAGGTAACGGTAAAAATACTAAATAAAGATGAATAAAATTATCAAGCAATGGAATTAGAGTAAATGTGATAAGAGATTAAACGGAGAGAACGCTCGGCAAATCATATAAAATTGCAAAAAACTTATGAGAAAATAATTTATACAGAAGAATTACGGTGAATATTATTAGCAACAAATAATGAATATACAATAATTATACATATATAAATTATTGTGGATAAAAAATGATTATTACGATTATAGTTTGAAAGCCTGGAGATAGAAAAATGGTGAAAAGGAACAGTGAAAGAAAAGCAATGAATGAGAAAAGCAGTAAAAGACAAACAAGCCCCGAGACGAAAAATACACTTAAAGATATTCCCTTTTTTTGATACCTTTAATATACCTAATATAATATAATAATACCACTTTTTAATAACTTTAAAGCTAACCGAGATAAAAAAATATAACTCAGTACTCACTGCAGTGAGTGACAGAGAGCGCATTTTCTCGTCGACGAAAACATGAAGTCACGGACGGACGGACGGACGGACAGACGGACATGGCGAGCACAATAATGCATTTTTTCCATAAATGAGTACAGTATTAATTACAGTATTAATACTCATAAATAAGTATTTACAGTATTCAGGACCCAGACCCCCCACCTGCAGCGTCGCCGTCAGGCAGAGAGACGCTCGAGTCCGACACATGGGAAGGCCACACAGAAGGAGAATCTTCTTCAGAAACATCAAGAACTTCTTCCTTCACTCGCACCGCGCCCTGTAATGTCAGCTTTCGTTTATGATTTAATAAATAACTTCTATTATTATATTATATACATAAATTATTACTATTATTATACTCAATACTCATTATTATAAATAACATATATATAACGTTCATGTTATTCTTTTCAAGCTACAGAAACATGTTATATAGTTTTAGATTCTGCAATATGAATTTTCTTTTATGTTCTTAGATGGTAATGTTCATGTATTTAGACAGAACTTACTTACCGTTGCAAAAACAAAAGTTAATTAACACAGAGGGTAGGCAATTTAAAATTTTGAAGACATTACTACTAGGTATTTACTAGCGTAATAAAATACGGTATTATAATGTTCAAAATGATTTAGATTAGAAAAAAATTTTAAAATCGGATTAATTTTAAAAAGCCTTTCAATTCGAATTTTTAAACAAGATTCATAATTCACACTCACCGCAATGGGCGAAACTCCGACCCTATGGCCAGGCCTGTTGATGACCCCAACATCAAGGGTTTGTACGATTGATGGGTCATCAAGGGATACAACTTGGGGTCCCATCGAACCCCCCCGGTACCCTGGGGATGCATGGGTGTTGATCCTACGTGGGGCCATAATCGGGCCTCGGTCCAAGGGGCCCTTGGGGTTCACGGGCGTGTGGAGACTTGAGTGCAGGATGACAGGTTCTGAAGACGACGCAGGGATGCAAGACGGCCGACGACGACCATAAAGTGCATAATAAAGATCCATTGCCGCGCCTCTAATGCGGGAGTCGTAAGAATTATTGTTGTTCATCATGGCCCATAAACGTTCGACCAAAGGCTCAGTGTCGAGTTTATGACCCTCGCCCATTTTGAAGGGTTTATTCAGGGTTAGTCTTCGGAGAACCTCATATCGAACCCGAGGCATGGGGTCGGTCTCGGCCAAATTCAGGAGGAAATTCAACTCGTTGATTCCACCACAACTCGGCAGAAAGTCAATAAGTTGGTCTATGGCGCTCAAACGCACATCAATGAACACCGGATACGCAGCGTAGTTCATGAAAATTGAACTTTTCGGCGGCAAATGTCCGTTTTTCTGCAGTACACGTATAGCACGCAGGCACGATACCGTGACCGTGAGTTTGTAACACGGTAGGATCTTGTCCAGGTTCAGGTATCGAACAATTTCTGATAAAATCTTGCGGTATGAGTCGGAGAGCGTGTCGGGAGTGATACTTGCAGGGTCATGCTGCACCTGAGAGTCAGAAATGAAACTCGTTGTAAAACACATTTTTCGATGCGTTCTCGATCATAAAATTAAACATGAAGGTACGGTACAGCGAAAAAAATGTATATGCCTCATTTAAAGGAATTTGTACCTCATTTCACGCGGAAATTTGGGGCCAAAACCTTAGCACCTAGATAGCAAATGGAATACTTCCGCTTGCCATAACGGAAGTATTCCAAGTACGAAAGCATTTAGCTGCATTATAGTCAATCATTCCGGCAGGTTAACAATCAACTTATTTTCTTAGCAATTATGGGCAACGAAAGACTCGATAGCTTAATACCATCATATGGGCAGTGAATAAAAATTTATTTCACATGAGATAAAAGATAAATGCTAATTAACAATGAGTTATGGTCAAACAATTATTGCGGTAAAGATGAGTGACTCACAGCTGCTGGGAAACCCTCAGTAAAGAGTTCAAGACTTGGGTTTGCATGTGACAGTAATAAATTGATGACTTAGGTTATCAAGAGACTTATAGCTGCAGGAGACACAGCATACAGCAATGTTATCAAGAGACTTACAGCTGCAGGAGACACAGCAGCAGCCAGGGCATCAACAAGACTTACAGCTGCAGGAGACACAGCAGCAGCCAGGGCATAAACAAGACTTACAGCTGCAGGAGAGACAGCAGCAGCCAGGGCATCAACAAGACTGGCCCTGTAGAAGTTGTCGCTCATTTGGTTCTTGGTGTTGTCGCTGTACTTGAAGAGGTCGAAGAGGAAGGCGAGCACCTCGGGGGGGCACGTCTGGTGGATGTTGCGCAGTCCTGCCATTGCCACGGGCAGAGTCTGCGCAAATGATAAAAGTTTTTATTTTGCCCCAGATTATGGAACGCATGAGAAAGTGGCCGAATCACTCATTAGCCATTAGAAAACGCTTAGAGAACGTTTTCTAAAATGTTTAAAAAACGTTTTCTATAGTACTAATTACTCATACAGACAAACCGAATTATTCCGAAATAACTATATGTACTATCCATACATACTAACAAGTCGAAATATTTCACACTAAATAAGTAAACTCATATCCATTTTGAGTTGAATCATCTTACGGAATATTGAGTATTACCGAAACATTTTACGTAATATTGAATATGACCGAAACATTTTAAATAATATTGAATATGGTCGAAACATTTCACGTAATATTGAATATGACCAACACATTGCACAGAAACTGACCTTTAGTATGAAATAGTTCTGAAGGTTATCAAAATCATGTTGCTTGATGATGTTGGGGCATGAATACGAGCCAAACATTTTTCTGAATATCTGCATCATGGCAGGAGGCCCGTTCCATGTAGCTGCCATGCTGTTGGCGACGGTCGTGAGACAGTGGGCCGCCGCACACCGAACCTTGTAGTAGACGTTCTCGTTCTCCAGCACCGCGTTCAGCGAGTTACGCATCTCTACACTCACGTTACCTGTGTAAATGAGTGTGTGAATGAATGTGTAAATGAGTGTAAATGAGTGTTTGTCCAAGGCACAACACAAGGCTTTTTTGGCACTAGTGTGAGTCTATCTGACACAGTTTGGCAGTGCAAAAGGACGCTTATCAGTGCTACGTACACTCTCTGCTCGACCTGTGGATAAGAAATTATATTGTCAATTAGGCCAGCGGTTCCCGAAGTGGGCGGCACCGCCCACCTGGGTCGGTGAGGAAGAAGAGGGCGGCAGTCCGAAGTCAAAGTCACAAGCTCGACCTTCTGATTGACGATTTGTACACAACAATGCAGCACATGACTCCAAGCTATGGGTTTTTTCAACCAGATTTCTGGGTTTTTTAACATCTCCTGGGTTTCAAGTGTAAAATTTTTTGAAATATTCAAACTTTGGGGGGAGCTAGGGGGCGTCAAGGGGGCGCCAGCCTGCAGAATATTGGGAGCCACTGAATTAGACAATGACCCATTCATATTTCCCAGTGCAGGCTGATGGTAAGCCACACTTACAGACCAGCTTTAGCCATGTCATGGATATGACTACAGACCAGCCTTAGCCATGGCATGGATATGACTACAGACCAGCCTTAGCCATGGCATGGATATGACTACAGACCAGCCTTAATTAGCCATGGCATGGATATGACTGCAGACCAGCCTTAGCCATGGCATGGACATGACTACAGACCAGCTTTAGCCATGGCATGGAGGGCGTTGATGGCATCTATCTGCGCCGTGACGTCACGCTCATGGCGCAGTTGGTACTGCCACTGGTTGTCGGGCTGGTGCACGCGCACGCTGCGCATCATCGACAGCTCGGGGTCCAGCCTCAGCCACAGCACCGGCGAGTCCGCGCTGTTGTGGGGTGAGAGGGTGGAATGTCATGAATATGAGGGTTGAATGTCATGAATATGAGGGTGGAATGTGATGAATATGAGGGTTAAATGTACTGAATATGAGGGTGAAATGAGAGGAATATGAGGGTGGAATTTAATGAATATGAGGGTGAAATGTGATGAATATGAGGGTGGAATGAGAGGAATATGAGGGTGGAATGTGATGAATATGAGGGTGGAATGTGATGAATATGAGGGTGGAATGTGATGAATATGAGGGTGGAATGTGATGAATATGAGGGTGGAATGTG